TCTCTCCAACACCCACTGAGTGCCAAGTATTAGATAAAGTGCTCTACACAGATTAACCTGCTTCTTAAAACAACTCTAGGAGTTTGGTACTAACATTATCCCCATTTAATGGGTGAGGATGCTGAGGTACAGAGAGGTCAGGCAACCTGTTAGCAGCTAGCTAGTGGTAGAGCCAGGATTCTAACCCAACCTAGCCAAGAGTCAGGGCACTGAATCTTTACTACAGAGCCTATAATTCCTACAAACCTCCCTCCTCACTGGACAGGAGTGGAAAGGAGGCTTCCAGGAGGTGACCCATTAGTTGGGGACAAATAGCCAGCATGTGGCCCATCCCTGAGCCTCACTATGCTCTCCAGCTGTTCCCAGAAATCTTCTTACCTCTTCTGAGCTGTGAGTGGAGCACCCTGAAATAGGGGTGCACCCACACTCCCACAGAGATAGAGTAGAAACCATCCAAATGTCCATCAATAATGAATGGATAAGCAAATATGGTATAACCATAGAATGGAATGTTATTCAGCCATGAAAGGAATAAAGTACTCATATATGCTATAACATGAATGAACCTTGAAACATTATGCTAAGTGAAAGAAGCCAGAGGCAAAGACTGCTTATTATATGATTGCATTTATACGAAAAACCCAGAATAGGCAAATTCATAGACACAAAGTAGTTGGTTAGGTTGCTTAGGGCAGAGGTTGGTGTGGAAAGTTGGGTGATAGCTAAAGGGCACAGGTTTCCTTTTGGGGTGATGAAAATGTCCTAAAATGTACTGATGGTTCCACTGGACATCTGGACATATGCTATAGATCTTAGTATATCTGTGAAAATACTAAAAACTATTTAATTGTACAGTGTGTGAATTATAGGATGAGTAAGTTATATCTCAATAAAGCTGTTACCAAAGCAACAAAAACAAAACAATACATAGTGAACCAGGTCACAGTAAACTCAGGTTCTGCTCTTTGAAAGTCAGTGTCCTGAACTCTAGATGCTGGCGAGGATGTGGAGAAACGGGCACCCTCCTACACTGTTGGTGGGAATGTAAACTGGTACAGCCCGTCTGGAAAACAGTGTGGAGGTTCCTCAGGAAACTACCAATAGAACTCCCTTATGACCCAGCAATAGCACTGCTAGGAATTTACCCAAGGGATACAGAAATGCTGTGGCATAGGAGCACGTGTACCCCAATGTTCATAGCAGCACTCTCCACAATAGCTAAAACATGGAAAGAGCCTAAGTGTCCATCAACAGATGAATGGATCAAGAAGATGTGGTTTATCTATACAATGGAGTACTAAATGGCAATGAGAAACAATGAAATCTGGCCATGTGTAGCAACATGGATGGACCCTGAGGGTGTTATGCTGAGCGAAATAAGTCAGGCAGAGAAGGACAAATATCATATGTTTGCACGTATAGGACGATTAGGAGGAACTTGACGGAGGAACAAGGGGGAGAAGAAGGGCGGAAATGGTGGGGGAAAGGGAGAGAGGCAAACCATGAGAGACTCTTGAATGCTGACAAAAACTGAGGACTGATGGATGTGGGGGGGACGGGGAGATGGGCATGGAGGAGGGTACTTTGGGGATGAGCACTGAGTGTTGTGTGGAAACTAATTTGACAATAAACTATTTGTAAAAAAAAAAAAAAAAAAAAAATGAAAGTCAGTGTCCTCACAGTCCAAGTTCCTTTTGGTCTCTGGAGAGGCCACAGCTCCCATAGAAAGTTCCAAGGTACCTGTCATTCAATCTGAAAGTCCCGCCTATGGGCTTTTCGGCCCTTTCTGGCTGCCCTACACGTTCCTCCCTGCTAAGGTTCCTGAATTGCTTTATGAAAAGGGAGAGACACAGATTTTCCAGGTCCCTGGGATCTTGACCCGGTTGAGATGACTGAGAGACCGCGAGTGTAGATTGTCAGTGAGAGCGTAGGATACAGGACACATAGGCGATCCGATCCTGCACCCCACTGCCCTGTGAGTAATCCCGGATCCTAGTGAATTCCTGCCAGGCGGACTGCACCCCGGAGCTCTGCGTCTTGCTTACCCCGAGCAGGAGGATCTCCCAGAACCAAAGGGCATCCCACCATGCGAGCGCACCCGCACACACTCAGCAAGGCCAACCCTGTACATCCCTGCCACGTGGCAGTACTCGGGTACTGGTGCGCCCAGAGATCCTCACCCAGCATGCTCCGGAGGTAGACCCGAAGGATACGGTCTCCAGAGAGAAAAGGATGTGGGTGGGAGCCCAATGGCCCCCGCACAACCCGCTCCCTGGCTAGGCAGTGGGCCGCCCAGGGGCAGGGATGGCCTGGCAGGCATCTCCGCTGGGCCAGAGCCCGGGCTGGGTGAGTAGATCCAGCACTGCCCCCCCCCCCGCACTCCCCCCCTCCCATCCACACAAGCACACCGCACAGGCTCTCTGCCTCGGCGCACGCACGGTACCTGAGTTCCTCACTCGCGCATCGCGGGTACAATCACAGGGATTGGGGACCTATCTCCCAGGCCTGCGGAGAGGAGAGAGCCAACGCCCTCGGGACGCCGAATCCCACCCCCCCAAGAGGGAAAGAGAGGGGGAAATAAATAAAGGGCTGGAGATAGAGAAAGAGTGCGTTCTGGCTCCGCGGGTTCTGCCTCACCAGGCAAACTGGCCCGGATCACCCGGGAGGGTGCGGATGCCCGAAAGCCGATCCCTGGACTTCAGAAGAGTTCGCCGGTGGGAGACCGGAGTTACCGGCACTGAGATAACGTTATTTGTGAAATGTAAATTTAAAAGGTGAGAACAAACAAAACCCGGCAGGGCTCAGCAGGTACTGTTCCGTTTTTCTTTGAACAAAAAACTTGGGCCGAGCAAGTGGCAAGGAAAGAGCAACGACTGGGGTGCCGAGAAGTTATCAGCCAAGTTTTTGCTTTCTGCTTCCTTCTTGAGTCATTAAAAAAACAAGTAAACTTGAGAGAGCCAGAAAAGAGAAAGACTGAGGTGCAGAGCAACTGGAGCCAGGGACCAGCTTCCGACTGGCCCGTATGGGGGTCTCTTGCTGGCCCATATGGGGGTCCCCGAGGAGTTCCGCTCGCCCCCCCCCCCCCCCCCCAGTGTGCACTGCAAGGGTCCTTCCAACCAAGCTCGGTCCAGCTGGGTCACACTCACCAGGTCCTCCCGTAAGTATGAATTTCCTTTCTCCCAGCTCCCCCAAGTGCCACCAACTGTCAGCACCCGCAGCTGGTCCAGGCTGCTCTCCCTCTGCACAGCCTACCCAGGACCCCGGCCACCAGCCTGCGCTCCCCTGCCCCACCTAAAGCACCAAGTGGCCAAGTTTTTTTCTTTCCTTCCGTCCTTCCCCCCTTTCCGTAGCAGGGAGCAGCAGTCTCCCTCCCCTGCACCCTCTACCCTCCCCTCTTCCTAGGTCTCAACCCCATTCACTGTCAATTAAATAAATAACTGGGGTGTCCAGCCCACCTGGCCTTCTGCTCGGGACATTTAAGACTGGACACAAATACATGCACACTGGACACATGCTGAGGCAGTAACACACGCACGTTCATACACTGGCTCACCCGAATCATGGAGGCTGCACCAGCAACATGCTCAGCCAGGACACAGCCACTTACCCCTCACTCCCCGCCCCCTACCCCGCACATCATGGCCCCTGCCCCCACACTCAATCAGGGCCCCAGACCGACCGAAGCACCCTCGCTCACCCCGGAACGAGGGCCAGAAAAGAGAAGCAAAATCTGCAATTACGGCGCTTTAGGAGAAGGGTCACCGGCGCTCCAGAGCACACACAAGTTGTACACACATCTTCACTGGGGTCTCCCAATCTCTGTTCGAGACCCTTTCTGAGTCAAATGAAAGGAACGAAGGGCCTGGCCTCTCTTGGCGCAGTCAAAGCAGAAGCTAGATTCAGGCGGGCACGGGTTCCTCAGAAAGTGCTGGGGACCCAGATGCCTCGGAAGGCCGAGTGCTCTGCACAGGGACCCCCACCACTTGGCTTCTCAGCCCAGCCGGCTTCTAGCCACGCTCACCTCCGCGCCTTGCCTTTTCTAGTCCAGGGAAGGTGGGACCTGGGACCAGGACTGCCTGGGGTGGGGGGCAGCTCCACCATGGCGGGGTGAGGCTGGCACAAGGAAACGCCCACCTGCTTCCCAAGTCTGAGGGTGCAGGCCCGGCGCGAGGGCCTCCTGGCCGTAGGGGAACCGGCCGTTCACTGCCTACCACTCACTGTCTTGGCCTCACCCTACCCTCTGGGCTCCTGGCCCCCGGCTGGCTGTCTGCACGTGTTTTCTCTCCCCCGGCGAGAGAAACTCCCCCGGTCCCCTGGCCTCTCTCAGGGTCATTTACCACATTCAAGGCCTTGCTCTCCCAGGATCGCCAGGACGCGCCAGCGGTCCCGCATCGTGAATGTGGGTGGTGGTATGAGTCTGGGGGCAGGGGTACGGCACTGAACCCCAGACTTGAGGCCCTGCCTCCAGCCCTCCCACCCCCACCCAGCCCAGCGCCCGAGCAAGGCCAACCTCCTGTTTCCTGCTGGGTCTCGCCGGGGTCGCCTTCCTGGAGCACTTTAGTTATTGATCCCGCCGAAAGAGCTGGCGCGCGGAGCCTGAGGGTCCCCGGGGACGGAGGGACGGAGGGAGTGGGAAGCGGAGTAGGCAAGGGGCTGGGGGAGGGAGTTGATAAACTTTAGGGGTGGGCGTAGGACTAAGCCAACACCTTAGGGCCGTCCCAGCCTCCCACTGCGGGACTGGGAGCGGGGCAAGACCGGGGCGGAGGAGTGGGACCACCCTCCCACCCTTCGGCGCCGCTCCCGCGTGAGCCGCTGGGAGTCGGAGAACCCCGACTCTCGCCCAATCAGCAGGGATGGGTGGAGCAGCCGGGTAGGGGCGGGGCCCGCGGAGGAGCGGGGGCTGGGGGCGGGGGCTGGGGGCGGGGGGCGCGAGGGGCGGGGAGCAGCGAGCCGGGCCGGCGCTGGCTGGCAAGGCGGTGGAGGAGGCGGCGGCGGCCGGCATGGGCGATGGGGGCGCGGAGCGCGACCGCGGCCCGGCTCGCCGGGAGTCGCGCGGCGGGCGCGGCGGGGACCGCGGCGGAGCGGAGGGCTCGGGGGCCCATGCCGGCCGCCGCAGCCCGCGGGAGACTGCGGGGACCTCCGCCTCTAGCCCCGCGGGCTCCAGGGAGAGCGGCGCCGACAGCGACGGCCAGCCGGGGCCCGGCGAGGCGGACCACTGCCGCCGCATCCTGGTGCGAGGTGAGTGGACGGTTCTCGGCCCTGGCCCGCCGGACCCCCATCCCACCCCGTCTGCTGCCTCCACCTCCCAATCCACACAGACAGCCGGTCATCAGTCTGTCACTGAGCAAACACTATTTTGAGCTTCTATTGTGTGCTGAACATTGAAGTGAGTGCAGGGGACAAAGCGGCGAGCGGGACCAAAGAGATGCCCGTGTCACTGCCTTACAGTCAGTTCTCAGCCTCTCGGGCCGGCCGCTCACCCTAGGCCCAGCCCAGCTGGTTACGGCGGCGGGGACCGAGGTACAAGCGCCGGGTGCGGAGAGCCGGGTCCCCGGCCCGCGTGCCTCTCGGCAGGTGCGGAGAAACGCGTCGCGAGCGCTGCGCGGGGTCGGGACGAGGAGGCACCAGCGTCCGGGACCGCGGGAGGGAAAGGCCGGCGCTTCCCCGCCGCCTGCCCAGCCTTGTTTCCCGTCCCCGGCTACGCAGACCGCGCCGGTTGCTCGCAGGACAGGGCATCCCGACGCGGAGGGCGGCTGCGCGGCGCTGGCCCGCCTGGGCTTCGCTCTTTCGGCTCCCGCTTCGTCTCGGCGTCTGGGCCCAGCCGGCTCTCCCTCGCCCTGCGCCCTTCTCTCTTCTTTCCCGGCCTTTTGGCTCCGCCGAGCTCTCCCTCTCAGCCCGCTTTTCCTGCCGGCGCTTCTGCACTGCGCCCGAGCACCCCGCTCCGCCTGGTGTCCGCGCCGCGAGGCGGAGACTTCCCCGGCCCCCAAAGCCACACTCACGCAAAGCTCTAGATCAGCTTTCGCCGGATCCGGGCCTCGCCCTGAGAGATGGAAGGAGAAAGGGGATTCCGGGGACTTGCCTTCAGCCTGTCCCTAGGCCTCGGCCGGAGCCTGGGGTCGGTCTCCCCCGCTGTCTCTGAGCGCCGGGACCGGGAGACCGAGCGCCCAGAAGAGGCCACACGCGGTAAAGGCTCCCCCAACCTCCGTCTCCATCTCCAGCTGCCTGGCTCGGCTTCCTCCCGCTGCCCTGTTAATGCCTCAACTTCCGGAGCGCCCGCCTGCCAGCCGCGGGGCTTTGGGAGTCGACCGGCTGGAGCCGATATCCGCAACCGCCGCGGCGGCCTGGGGAAGAGGAACAGCTTGAGACCGGTTCCACCACACTCCAGCGCCAGGATCCCGAGTCTGTCTGATCCCAGCTCGGCCACCCACACACACACCTTGGGATACCTTGGCCTGGTTTCCCACAGCCTCCCCACAGCCGCTGGGTTTGGGTGGCTCTGGAAATGGGGGGCAGGATCAGGGTGGAGCATTGAGGCAGCCCAAACTAAAGTCGGCTGATGACTGTCTTGGACACAGGCTCGGTGACCCAGGTCTTCCCGAAACACTCCTGGTGTCAGGTGTGGTCACCTAGAGATGAGGCAGGCTTGGGTATGAGGGCAGTCCCCACCAGACAACAATTCCAGCAGGTGTGTGGACCGGCTGGGCACCTGGGATTAAATCAGATCCCTTTTCAAAGACTACGGGCTGTCCTGAATGCAAGATATCAGCAGCCACCTTGGAGCTCTATTGAGAAAATTCTCCCGGCTTCCAGAAATGGAGAAATATTCCCTTAAACCCACACTCCTGGATTAAGACACTCAAATCCCTGCCTGTGACACTCACCACCTCATACCCCATCTGCAGGCATTTGTGAGTTCTGGACAATTGTGAGTTCTGTGCCCACCTACCATCCCTTCCACTCCACTAACTCTGCTTGTAGAACGAATAAGTTCTATGTACAGATGCCAGTTTAATAACTCCCAGGTGTAGACTCATAGGAGGTAGGAGTCAAAAGTAACGCTCCACCCTGTGGGATGGGAGCTACCCATGCTAGGAGCTGGGCAGAGATGGACCCCCCCCTCCACTCCCCAGCTATGTGGGACAGCTTGTGTGCGTTGTCAGGAGATATACTTTTGTAAATGCATGTATGCACATACAGCAATGCCATTATATTTGTACAATATAATGGTAATATAGCACAGAGGCTGTATTTACATGCCTAAAAGAAATAAAAGGTAAATAGGGTCCTCGTAAATTCCTCTGCCCTTTCTTATTTAATGAAAAGGCAGTTATTAAGGCCTGAGATACCGGGCGAGTCATTTAGCACTAATCCCCCCCCCCCCCAGCCAGGGTCACCTGTGTCACTCCTGGCCCCACGGGGCTCAGAGTGGAGGCTCTGACAGATGAAAGGCCTGGCACTGTTGAAGGGAAGTCTGCAGTGCCTTGGCCTCCAGATGAATGTTCCTCCAGTGTGCTCTAAGCAGAGAGTACATTTTGCCCTTGATCTCTCAAGACACTTCTTCCCAAAGTACTTTTAGAGGAGGAAACCATAAAAAGGTGGAAGAGCAGTTTTTGCCCTCACATCCCATCAGGTTGCTGATGTGGTGAGAATTTGGGGAAAGAATCCCACTTCCCTTGGGTCTTTGCACTTCTTTCTGCCTCTTTTCCACTTGGAACTTGCTACCTGAGGGCTGCAGTCCAGCATCGCTCCTCTGTTGGGGGAGTTCGAAGGCACAGGGGAATAGAAGGAAAGTGTGGGTACTCGAATTAAGTGAAGTTGGTTTAGAGCCCTTTAAACTGGAGCCAGTTCCTTTGCCTCTCTGTGCCTCAGTTTTCTCATCTGTATAGAGGAAACTATAGGTGTTACTTTGGAAGTCATTGCTAAAGGTCAGAGGTGATGTCTATAAAACTACCAACACCCAGCAAGATCTCTATAACTATTCTGTTAAATGAAAGGGGGCGCTCTGAGGTGACCTACAAACCACTCTGGGAATGGGCCTCCTTCCTCAGAAGCCTCCCCCCAGCTCACCCTCATAAGGCCTTTCCCCTTGACTAAACGCTGCCATGCCATGCGTTGGGAGGTGGGCAGCCCCGGGGATTGAGAACTGCTGATGAACGGAGGATTAGTGCCACCTTGCAGACCAAGAGGTGTGGCCTTCCCCAATCCCCTTGGAGGAACCCCTCACTCCACCAATCACTCAAGTTTTCCCCTGCCTCCCCTGAAATGTGGGTCAGGGAGCCAGGGAGGCCGACCTTGCTGCATCCCCGCCTCAAGATGGAGGCCATTTCATGCCACACATGGACACAAACAAGGCCACAAGGATGACAGGGGCGGGTGCACACAGGCAGGACAGCACACCCTATCGCATACACAGCTAGGCTTCTACAGGACCAGAGGCCTCGTAGGCCACCCCACAGCTCTGCGTGCACAGCCCATTGGCCAGTGACCAGCATGGATGGGGGATCCTTTTGTTTTATATCTGGAAAGGGCGCCGACTGAGAGCAGGAAGCAGCCGGAATAGGCCGCCTCCCAGCTGTGGCTCTAACTGCAAGGTGCCCCTGAGTTGCAACGGCCTTTTCGGTGGAGCCGGAATGCAGGCAGTTAGAAGAGGTGGACCAGCTCTCTCCCGCAACTTCCTGCACCCTCACAATCTGCGCCGGCACCCGCACACTCAGATACACCTACGCGATTCCCAGATTAATCCGGATGCAAATTCAACAACTCATCTGAATGGAGCCCGTAATGGCTGGCCGCTGGTGTCACTGGACTTTTATGAACAACGTGCGGCACTGCTACCTACTCGCTCGAAGTACTTCCTCAGGCCTTCGCGTCTCAAAACCCCATTTGGGCTGCATCCTCTGTCCTCCACCCTGTGACCACCTTGGTCCTGGTGAAGCGGGATCAGGATCCCCCCTGGAGCGCGCTCTTCACCTTAAGAACTGCGGTCTCCCACACTTCTCTGGGAACAGGAAGGCAGGAAAATTAGGGATCCCTCGGCTGAGTGAACAACTGGCCATCACACCACCACCCATTATGCGGAGTGCTTTCACCTGGAAGCTTGATGGATGCACCTGGTAGCTAAGAATGTAAGAAAGACCTTGAAGACCAGGACTTCTGGCTCCTGCTGGCGATCCTCGGTGCTAATGTGAGTGTTGGGGGAGGGAGGCATTTAGTGGAGTCCACTGTCCCCCCCCCCCCCAATCAGGTAGCAGTGCTGGTGCAGTCCAGAACCGGGAACCTCAGAACACTTACTGACTGCCCAATGGTGTATACCAGACAGGGTCCTGCCAGACTCATCGGAAGCCTCTGGGCAAGGGGCCAAGGCTTCTGGGGCTTGAGCTGAGAGAGGCTGGGGAAACAGACTCCCCCACTCCAGCAGCCAGATCTGGTTTTGTGTCACTTGGAATCTGCTTGCTCTCTGCTTGGATTTACAGAAGCCACTGGGCCTACAGGAGCTCAGCTGGGACCTTGCAGGCGTCACCAGCAAGTTGATGTGGCTCTACAAGGGCACACCTACCTACTGCCCAGTGGGCCTTTTGGCAACTGAGAAGGTGGGGCAGATTGTTTATGGAAATGAGCAGTGGTTTTGGAGTCCCAGCTCTTCCACCCTCTGTGGGCCTCAGGACCATAACCTCAATATGAGACTGTTAATAGGCACAATAACCCAGGACCAGGCCTCAGGCAGCAGTTGAAGGGTTTGAACAGTTCGTACAAGGGACTGCACTTTAAAATTTTGTTTTTAATTTTTGGTTTTGAGATTTGTGTGTGTTTTTTTATTTTCCCGGGTTTGTTTAGTTTTACGTTTGTTATGTTTTTCCTTTTGCTTTGTTTGTTTTTGGCAGAAGGACCCACATTCTCAACAAGGGTCTGACTGGGCGCTACCGTTTCGGTCTTATTTTTCTCTTTGTATACATGCGCTCCGCCCCTCCCCCCCCCCCCCCACGCAAGCTGCCCAGCAACCAAATGTGTCGTCTTGTTGGTGTGTTTTGTGTGCACTGTTTTCATTTTCAGGGAACTATGCGCGGCTCCTTGTGTTTTCCTGCTACTTTTTTGTTGTTTTGGGTGGTCGCTGGGACTCCGGTTCCTAGATCCGTTGCAGGGTCAGAGCTTCTAGGTGCCCCCTCCCCACCTTCACCCCCTTTGACCCTGCAGGGCAAGGAGGCTGATTTTCCCGAGGCTGGGGCGGGTGAGTGAGTACT